AAAAAAAACAAGGATAGAAAGTAACATACTTATCGAAGGATAATGCCGGGATGCCACTCCACCATCCTCCTAAAAAAATATCATACAGCCAAGGAAGTTTAGAAATACAGTCCAAAAGAGCTGCTGATGAACAAGACATAAAACCATAGACATGATGTTGGTGGAATTATTCTATCCTCTTCTTACGCTCGTCATGACAAGTATTGTTTTGGTATATACACAGAATTAGTTGTATGTTTAATTTGAATACATTCCGAAATTAGTGACCCTAAAGAGTGATTAGCATGGACAGATCAAGAAATGGAGTTCTTGTGCAAAGTGGTAAATGAAGCTCTATTTTCGCCAGTACCCATCATGAATCCTGTGATCTTCCTTGAAAGAGAACCAGGATCCAATCCGCCATCAACATCAAATATTGGAATCCAATCAGAACCTTTGACCCATGCCTTTAGAGTAACAGCAAAAAAAAAAATGAAGTCCAGTTATAAATCAAGGAAATAAACGAGACAAATGAGTTACAAAAAACCTCATGCTATGGATTGGAAAATCAAAATATTATACAAGCATACTCAAATTTGTACTTGCATCTGAAGCGGCCAAAAAAAAATATTAGGCTAAACTGAAAGATAAAATCATTACAAGACTAACATGCGTACCTTCTTACGTTCAGTAGAAGGACGGACATCAAGTAAGGTTTTGTTAGAGAGTTGAATAGCATATCCAGCTTCTCTTGGAGTTAGAACTTTGACTTTCCCATCCCTGACCTAAGTTACAAAAGATCTGTACTATAATCTATTGAATAAACAACTTATACAATAAACTGAAATTATATACAGTGAGTGCTCCATTCTTACTCAAATTGAACTCATAACAACTTGGCCTTCAGAATCTTACGTCGATCTCTCACCAATGATACGTATGTTAGTTACTTTCTTCTACACACTATCTAAACACACTCTTCCCGAAAATTCTGCTTTTAAAGGAAGTGATCATTTATTAAGTAGAAGCTAATAGTAGTTCAAACCCGAAGTTGGCAGTGACTGCAAATAGATAGTAAAAGATGAATAATTAAAAGAGAGTGAGTGTTCGAGTTGTGAAAGTTCTTTACTTGTGAAGAGAGTCAAACTAAACGAATAATCGAAAATCTGAAACACTCGTCTCTAGAAGTTTTTTAGGGTCTAATTAAACAAATGCACGAGTTGGAATTCCTAAACACTACAACTAATTTCTTTTTGTCCACCCAAAAGAACAATAGATAATTGCTAACACTCGTTGGTACATGAATGAATGCAGTCACCCCTTTGGGAGCAATACATGGACACTCAAAATTCTTGGTGTGTGGTAACTTCTTGCAAAATTTTGTTCATTGGCATATACTTCATCAACACTATAGTACACAAACATCCAAAAATAACAACAGAAACAAAAAAAAAAAAAAAAACAAATAACTAACTAAATACCAGAGCTTCCCATCTCTTTCTAGCAGCAGCCATATCCCTCATTTGCTTCACCTCGAACTCTTCTTCAGCTACTTGCATTATTGTGCACTAATTAACGTCAAAACCCAGACAACATAAGAAACCCAAGACAAAAACACAAACCCATTTCTGAAATTAAAAATTACAAGATCCAAGAACAAAAAATAAATAAATTGAACCAGTGTTAAAAGGAACAATCTTTTTCCCTTTTTTTGGCTTACATTGTGTCGAACTTTGCGGGTCAGGAAAGACGGGCCCGTAGCAAAAGGAAAACGGGTCGAGCCCGGAAGGCTGTTCCAGCTCCTTTGTCTCTGGCCAGGGTTTTGAGCATTGATGGGCGAGAGCTGAAGGCTCAGTGTTGCCATTTTGCTCAAGAAAAAAAGAAATAAATAAATGAAATGGCCGGTCGGTCACTGATGCTTTCTTTTCAATCTGTAGCTTTATCTACTGCTGGTTTGTTTTGAAGGAATTCTTGTGAGGAATTTATCATGGATAGGTTTATCGCGCACAATATCTCAAGGTCGCAAGGGACAAAGGATTTTTCATTTTGGATAAATCTAATCGAGTCTCTCACTATATAATTTTTTGTGATATAATATGCTTCGGTAATTAAATTAAGGATGATATAAATAGAGGAGTCGTTTAGAAAAATGCTACAAGTACATGATAAATGTACGTAGAAATATACATAACATTCTTATGGAGTGGAGTACACTTGATTTTTTATTTTTGGTAGGACTCATTAATGTTAGTGTTATTTATACATTTATATACACACTATTATGTAGTTTCTCGAGTCGTTTAATAGCAAAAACTTGCTAGACTTGATAAATAAGAGGGTTTTTTTTTTTTTTAAGTATTATTCTTGACTTAAATATAATAAGACTGAGCTTGTTTATGGTCTCGTCACAGCCCATGAGGATTGGATCAAATGTGTCTCTATTCTTAAACGGAAATGGAAAATTCAACTAGCTAGTAGATAAGAAATAAGAAACAAGGTGTAGAATTTAACCATATTATTTTTTTAGTTGGTTAAATATCGATTTGACAGTTGACTTCCGGCATTGACCTTTGACCGTAATTTGTGCCTCCATTGTTCTTAAAGTCTACGTCCGCCATGTACGTCACAATGAACTTGTATATATATTTAAAGAGAAATAATTATTGGAATTACAATACAATTACTATAAGCTACAATACAATAGCATTTGGTCAATATATATTATTAATAACAAAATGATATAAAATTTATATATTATTTAAGTTCACTTCACACACAATAGAATGAGAAAGATTATGGATGGTTGGTACGTGTATTTTGGATAAATCAATATTATCATGCACAATATTTTGACATCCAAAGGGACAAAGTAATGAATATTTGATACAAATCCAATTTTGCTAGTCCATAAGGATCTTGTTGATAAAGCGACGAGGAAAATAATGGGCCCAATCAGTCTACTAACGTAAATTTGGGCTGTAATGGGCTTCTTTCGGGCCGAACAATAGGTCCACTTTATTCATTAGACAAGGTTTTTGCATTTGAACCACAAAACAATTTATACAGTTAAAGTTAATATACTTGTGTTTTAATAAAAATATATATATATAAAGTCAATTAAATGAATAAAAAGGATTTTGCATTTGAATGGCGTAGTTTTCTTTATAAAAAAATATACATGTTTAACAATTTTATAACTAGAGTATTGTCTTACTAACAACAATGGACACAAATTAAAACGTTTATTTTATTTTTTGGTAGAAGAAAGAAGGACAAAGTTTAAAGAACGTTAGAGCGGAACACGGCATGGATAAGTCATGCCAATAATATCATGCATTAGCCAATGCCCCAACTCCTTGGGCGGGTACAGAATACGATGATAACCTATCGGGACATCAACAGAAATACGTTTTTTATTTGACGTGATAGAACGTATGCATGCGAAACTTCTTCGAACCTACTTGCAAATATCCCAATCCTCATTTCGTTGACAATACAAATTGATTACAACACACAAAGATATATACTTGAAAGAGATATTTGATATTACTTGAAAAAAGATTTGTAACAATGCTTGGAAAACAATTAAGGGCGGATAATTGGTGGGCGATGATGCCTTTGTTTCCACCCGTGACAATAATGAAAACGACCTCTCTCTTTGAGGTATTAGATTAGTACATGAAACATTGAAACTTTATTCCCTTGTCTTTTCGAGTTCTTTATTAATTAATGATTTAAAAAGGTGGGTCACCTACAACATAATACAATCAATTGTCTCCATAGTTGAGGATATGTATAATGTGTTGTATGTGAAAGAAAAATAATTAATAGAATAGTGTACAATGATTACACATAAAATATTAAAAATTAAAATAGTAATATGGGAGAAAGGTAAGAGTTGTATAGTAAATAACGGGAAAAATAAAGAAAAATAAAAAACATAATATCAATCACTAAAAAATGAAATGTCATTTTCTATTATATGTTATTGAAGAGTTTATGATTTATTTGGTTCAATTTTGTGTGTTTTGTCATCATATGTTTAATTTACGGTGCTTCGGAGTAATCTGTTGTAGATCTACACTTCTATCTAATATTGTAATCATATGTGTCAATTTCGAGCTCATGCTCGATTGTGTTCTGACACTGTTCGTATTCGTTCGTTTACTTTCAAGCAAAAATCCATACTCGAGTTCGTTTATTTAGTTATTCTTTAAAGTTCGAGTTCGTTTGCGTTCATTTAATTTAGTAAACATTTAATTGTTTAATTCAAGTTTGAAAATACAAGAAAAATTAAAATCACAATAAATATTTGTATCTTTTAGTTCTTTCTTATAAAATAAAGAACTATCGCTCATTTAGTTTTTTTTAATAACCATAACAATAATATTTATATCGTATTATATTTGATATATTGATACTACCGACAGTTTTGACGATTAACGGGTAAGATTCCGACTATTTATTTGAATCATAATATCATACTTCTCAGGCTATGTTTCGATAGCTGTTAAGCTAACTTATAGCTTATCAATATATTCGAGTTTATAGCTTATGACTTATAGTTGAAAAACTAGTTTATATTATAATAGTGCGGTTTTGCTATGAATCCAACAATTGGCTCTATAGTGGAGCCAACCTTCCATATACTACAAATAAACCTACCATACTAATAAAATTATATTAATGTAATTTAAGTAATCATAAAACATGGTAGGTTTACTTGTTGTATATAGAAGGTTGACTCAACTATGGAGCCAACCGTTGACTCCATAGCAAAACCGTATAATAGTGTTTGCTAAAATTACTTGATAAGCTAGCTGAAATAAAAATTTCAACGAGCTTATTTAAAAAGATACCCAAATAAGTTTTTGAAGTAATCTCAATTTTTTTTTTTAAAAAAAAGATCGTTCTAAACTTATTTAAATACATGAAACTTATAAACTAACGTATTTGTTACCAAACACAACTCACTCCATCTTAAATCATAAAATTATATTAAAAAAAGAAAATGTCAAAGATTTTAAAATGTATTTCGGGTTAAATTCACATATTTTTTTCAACAAAAAATGAAACAAAATCTCCTATCCCCACGTAAAAAATGATGCTTATCCATATTTGTAAAATTTATCCCCTTTTGCAATTTTCCAACCACTAACAATAAATCAGAGAATTTCTCAGTATTTTCCTCAAATTATGGAGTTTTAAGCATTTAGAGGCACTGTAGCAGTAAAAAAGAAAAAAAAGAAAAAAAATAAGACGCGACCTCAAAACGACCATAAACCTCTCACAAATCACAATCCAATTAGCTCACGCATGTTCTTTCTCACGCACTAACACCACCGCGTCTTCTCCATTTTACTGCCACAGCCAATGCGGAGCTTGCAGAGCGCTTGTTAAAGAAGGTAAAACCCAAGAACTTTACTTAGTTTTTTT